CAGTATCGATCGCCGGGCGGTCACATCTCGCCACGCGCTCGAATTGGATAGTGGGCAGGGCAAAGACGACGATTTTCGATAATTTATTACTCGTTAACTATTGCGAAAATTGCAAATGGTTCAGGACTTTTCTGTTCATCTCGATCCGTTCTACCTTCTCACGAGCTCTGGCACAAATGTTGTGACTCACCCTGTATAGATTGCATAATTCCGGCTATTATGAACATGTCTCTCCACAATATCAATTTCTGATTTACTTTGCATCATCTTTCAGTCCTCTTGGATATAATGTAAGATTCTTATCTACATATAATTGATTACAATGGTTTAATTATTACTTTATAGATATAATTCCACACATCCAATCGGTAATCGTTGCTTGTACAGAATGTATAAAAATGTTTGTTCGCTGTCAGATTTTCTAAGCCATAATTAGAAAAATCATCATATAAGGCACCGCCAAAGTTGTCTTTGATCTTCAAGTTCAATGTCAAATTTTTTTATCGATTTATTCAATCCTAATCGTCAAGTTCAAAACGGTTTTTATTACAGACTGCTCTTGACGGTCAAGAATAGCTTTTCAAGGTCAAGAGCACTTATTGAAAGTCAATAACGTTATTCGAGAGTTAAAGTTGATGGGGGGAGGGGGGAGGGTCCCGTTTGCCGACATTCCCGATTGCCAACAGCTTCGTTTGCCCACAACATTTTGCCGACAGCTTCAGTTGCCGACATTCCCGATTGCCTACAAACCGATTGCCCACAAGCAATATTGCGCACATGTAATACAAAAGTAAAATATTTTTTATAATAAAAAACCGGAACTTTAACATTACAGTTAAAAAGTGATATAATTACATATGTCAAAAAAATTATCTGGTTTTGGATAGTAACTTTATATACCGTGTAGACCAAAAGCTGGGATGAACTAATAATTTTACTGTTAACCTTCCAAACAAATAAGTCGCAGTTGTATGTTAGCTGACGGCCGGACGAAGACTGCATAACACGGCGAGGTCTTCTCGCACTACTCGGTTCTTTAAGCGCGTATAAACATGTTCGCACGTGTTTTGTTAACTAAGATAATCGCGTTGCCCAACTTGCCCCTATGCTCAACTAGCCCCGCTCTACCCTACATGTAATTAAATTGATAATCAATTTAATGATATTTTTAAAATATCCTTTGGAAACATACACTGTAAAGAATTTCTTGCGAAGAATGTAACCTCAGCCAGAATTCGAATTACTTTTTCCAACTATGCAGCCATGCACCAGAAAAATTATTTTAAATAATAAATATTATACGCCATATACAGGGTGTTCCGCCGCGCACCGCCGCGAGCGACGGCTGATGGGTGGACACATCGCACCGCACGCTTACATTTGGCAGTAGCTCGGGCTAATACGGCGACTTTTGATTATCAATATCTCGATAACTATTGCTCCAATTGCAAAATCGTAGAAGACTTTTCTGTTGGTTTATTCCTCTTTACCGTCCCGTGAACGGCGGTCAGAACACTGCGGAACATCCCCCATTATATTAAATAATAATCAAAATCTATTTTTGTGTTTAAAAAATAAGTCGATATGACATTAATGACAAGTGATTCTTTCAAACCTCTTTATTCATTTAACATTACTTACTATATATTGCAGAAACGCGAATAAAATATTTTTTGTTCTTAATACTTTATTTGTACATTTACATTGTAATGCATGTCAAGTGTTTGGAATAAAAAATTCACTAACTTATTGGTCACATCTCTTTGGATTATTATTGTCGTGTAGAATACATCACCATGAAGTAGGATATTACTGTACTTGACAACTGAAAGATAAATATTACTCTATACATTACATAAACATTAGTATGATAGTTCAATTTTCATTTCTGTTAAAAAAAATCTAAATTTACTGTAGCAAAACCATCCAAGGATGCAACAAATACGCTAAAATACGATACGCTAAGGTGTTCCATCCCTCTTTGCATTATAAATAATAACAGCTTTTGATTAGACAATGGTGCTGCATACCATGACCCATTATATCTATAATCATAAAATTTAATTTGCAAACTCATAAACAATTAAAGAAATTTTACTAATTAGCGCTAAATTAACGTCAGATTTTTAATACCGAAATAGAACACACAATAACGGTTAATTTAAGTTTAAGGTACTTGAATCAAATGTAAGGATTAAAATGTGATTATTAACAACATAACAATAAGCAAAAACAAAATACTCACGTGACTTTGAATAAATCTATTCCGTTATTGATTACAACTTGTCCCCAGTAATTGAAAATAAACATATATATGAAATAAGTAAATGTGAGTAGACCTATTATAGATGCTCTACCGATATCATTTGATAGTATTAGTCGACAGAACTGAAATAAATTTATTACTTGAAAAGCAGTACAAAATTAAATACAATAAAGAAAATTATTACTTACTAGAAAAAGATTGAGAGCTAAAGAACTAACGCCAACTGCTATCAGAAGAGAGAATAATACCAAAAACGCAGAATTCAGAAATTCATTAAACCTTAAATGAAAAGTTAAATATTGAAACTATTACATTAATCATACAAATATAAATACAGCTGTAAGTATTATGGTTCTTCACGAATGTACAGAATATTCAAACATCACATTTAAAGCTGTTTCAAAATATTGTACACAATGTTTCACAAAAATATTATGTTGTTAAATTTGACCGAATTACAAAATTAATTGCAAATACTATATGTCAATTTAATTATTGAATATTAGTTAAATATAAAGTTCAATTTGTGCTTTTAAAACTGCATTTATTGCAAAGATGTATAATATTAATAAGACCTAAATGTTAAACATACATTTACGATTCAGAAACCTTAAAATTAAATGTAACAGAAAGAAGAAATAGTTCCTAACTAAATTACCTTACAAAAGGTTTCACAATAAAAATATACTAACTCAGCAGCTCTCTGATGCATAACAACTGCATGTGCAATCCTCCGGTGAAGTAGATACTGCTTTTTGGGATTAGGCATTGCTAATATATTTCTCTCGAAAGCATTTTCTATTCGATAGCTATATGAATTTACTAATGTATATTATGATTGAAGCAAGTGATCGACAAGGAATAATAAATACATTTTATATTACCTTGTGATTTCAAGTAATGCACATACATGCGACATAAATATAATAAATGTCGTACCAGTGCTCCCTACTGCAGTTAATCCTATATAACCAACTAACAACTCATGTAATAATATAAACTGAATATATTTATCATGATCAACAAAATATTCCGTGATCATGAGAAGTTGATAAGGTCGTGATCCGTTCACTGGTAATATGAAGTCAAGGATGAATGGCAGACGTTGAAATATTATGTACAAGAATATGGAAATATAACAAAACACTAGGAAATAATAAATCTAATATGAAATTAATTATTTCAAATAAGTATCGAAATATATGTGCCACAATATTTTGCGTCTCATCAGTAAAAATATGTTAAAATATTATTACAAGTTGCGTTACCTATAATACTTATTGTGAGAATGTTCATATAACTAGCATATTTTTTGATAATATCAATTTCCAATTTATCCTTCAACAAATTCCAGTCATTTCTCATTTGCTCCATTAGTTGTTGCAACTATTTCATTTTTTCTTATCAACATTTTGAATATACTTGGCATTGTAGATGTTACAACTAACTATTTAAATAACCGATTTGTTTTGTTGAACTTACGCTATGTGTCTTAGTGAGAAAAAGGAAATATTTTATGAAAATAAAAAGAACAGGTAAGACGAAGGAAAGAATCTTGAAAAGAAGATCCGTACTGTACTGAGTTGTAACAAATACCAGCAACTAAAATCAACAATTAAGGTATTGGTTGAAAATTGCGACACAGCTTAGCTTGAAGCGTGAAGGCAACGATGATTATAATATTGCAACTGCTATTGCAAGTAATATTCAGTATGTGCATTATATTATGAAAGATAAAACATGATTATTTTTTAGGAATTTATACAAAAGATAGTTTATTATTATAAACGTGCTAATAAAAATTGGTCGTATATTAAACGTCAAACAAGAAAGTTGTGACAAAATAAAATAGTACCTATTAATTCCCTGAATATACACGGAAAAACAAATTTCCGCTACCGTAACTAATCATGGTTTGCTAAAACTATTTTACTGCATAACTATAAATTTTCAAACTGCAGCAAACGGGTTGCTGTCGCACCTAACACAATAGGCACAGTAGCAAATTTTTTTTACTATTTTACTATTTAATTATTACTACTATTTTACTATTTAATTATTACAATTAAATATTAGCTGTCTATGTTTTAATACTGAAATTTAGTTGCCACATGCAGTTTGTAGCTACGGCAGCAACATTTTTCTTTCCGTGTGTACCTATAATAAATGTTACTATTTCAATATAACAATACAAAGTTTAGATTTGGTAAACCTGAACGAGAATAGCTGTTAAAAGAACACTAGCACACAACACATTTTGTATTTGCGTAAAATATGACTGCTGATAGGGCCATAGCCCAAGCGTCTTAAGAATTATTCGATTAATCTTGAAATAATTTTCTTCGATCGAATACATTTCACACGCGAACTGCGATGCAACTGCATCCACGGTAAGAATTGAATTATGTTTCTCGAATATTTTGTGAATTTCAAACGATCGATACGATGAGAACAGTAGGGAGAAGATAATTATGCTATTGTACCATTGAAGCAGGTTATAGAGCATGGTGTAGGCAGATGTGAATTATACAGAATTACCATAATTTGTAATTTAAAATAACGTTTCTTAAACTTATATAGCTTGAATAATTGTCTTGCGCAAACGCAGTTACGACTTCTATTTCTTAGCAATAGGAAAGGTTTCAGTTTCGTAAGTAACATCATGGGGTGACTTTCTCATCTTATATTGAATTATACAGTGCATTGTAAGTCATAAGTTAAACAACTAACACTAATTTTCCATTTGACATGAAGAAAGTATATATACATATACATATACATATATATATATATATATATAGACTCAGTCGCAAAAAAAGCGGTACACTAAAAATTTGGAAGAAATGTACCAAATTTCAAGTGATCATAATTTGGTAAATAATAAAGATAAAAATAAATACAATGGAAAATAAAGGTCGGAAAATCCTCTTTAAGAATATTTGAATGGCAATTATGCTTGGCCATTTTTTAAAAATGGTGAATGATAAAGTGAGACGATGCAAAATTGATAATTGAACGTCCCAATTTGCGACGGTGCATGGCATGAATCAGGTATCGCAGCCTAATATAACAAAGTGCACATCAAATTATAGAGCGTTAGCTTTAAAATGCTTGCTTACCGAGCTCGATACGATCATTTTTCGCGGAGTAATGCACATTTAAAGAAAAAAAACAACGTTTTTCTTTGTGTATGTAAATTTTGTGATGTTGCAATCGGATCCTGAGACACGTCAACAAATACACCATTTTACGTGTCTGCCGAGTCCGGCCTTCCGCTCCTCCGTGTGCTTATTGGCTCAGACGTTTTTCTTAATTACACGATAATTATTACGAATTTTGCAAAATAATATACCACTTTTCTTCTCAGTTTGATCCAATCTACCATAATTTTTGGAATGGTCCCAAACGAATTTGACACCTTGATAAGTATTATACATAAAACTAGGAAATATTGTCCTTTATTATCTACTTGGTAACTTCTATAATAACTTTGGGATTGTGTTGTAAAAAACCATGGTTTGTTGGCACCGAAATCGTCGAGCTATTTTTGAACATCTCGAAAGCATCGTTCGGTTAAAGCATGCTGCATCGGCCAGAATAATTGACAATCCGAAGGCGCTAAGTCAGGCGAATTCGTAAAGGAGACCTTCCCAGCCCAATGTATTCTCTTTTCTTAAAACTGCTTGCTTGATTTCTTCTCCATGCGATTGCCATTAAAATTCTGAATTTAGTAATTTATTTCTGTTTTTAAAAACTGACCATTCCAAATCAATTTAAGAACTTAAATTCGAACTTTAAATGTCAATGTTTCAGACTAAAGTCAACTGGAAATAAAATGGGAAATTGACGCGAGAAGAACTAATACGCGAAAGTGAGAGGTTGTTGTAGGGAAGTAATCTTCTCAGTAAACCTGGTTAACTATGTCCGAGCAAATATCTGTGTGTGTTTTAGATATTAACTGTACACGCGCAAAAATGTCATAAAGATGGCAATATGTAGCCTATGACGCTTTCGAGATGTGAAAAAACATCTGTCAAAAATAAAACTAAATCGGTGTATTGATTTTAGGGATAATTTAGAACAAACATGCAAACTATCCCCCACCCCCCTCTCTCTCTCTAATAAAATAGATAATCATAATCCATTATAATAACGGAAATAAGACGATCTACTAATAATTAATGGTTTAAATCTCGTCCTCTTTATTCATTTAACAATATTTTAACTTATATTGAAGTACTTGGATAAGTTTTATATTTAAACATTTATTTGTATATCCATTATACATTAATGCTGTATGTCAAGTATTACGAGTAAAAAGTCCATTTATATAATGTTAGTAACATATATTTAATACAGTTTCTATGCACATGCGTTACACACTAATATAAATTTCCTAAAAAATCTAAATAACCAAAAAGTAATTTTTTTAGTTGGATTATTATTGCCGTGTAGAATAAATTACCATAAAGTAGGATATTACCGTACTTGTCATCTGAAAGAAAAATATTACTCTATGTATACATTACATCGACAGTAGTGTAATAATCAACTAATAAGAATTCTTCAATGTCGAGAATTAACAACGTCAATGTTTTCTTGACCATACCTGGCATATTTAATCTCTGAGACGCCCGCCTAGAGGATAGGGAGTTTCAGGTTCAAACCCCGTCTGAGGTAATATTTTTCGTAATAAATTTTCAGTGTTATTTAAAATGCCAGGTATGGACAAGAAAACACTGACGTTATTAGTGCGATAGTTCAATTTTCTTTTCTGTTAAAAAAATGCTAATTTTACTGTAGCAAAACCATCCAAGGATGCAATAAATACACTGCCATATGATATGGTACAGTTTTTTCTCACTCTTTGCATTATAAATAATAATTGTTTTTGAGTAGACAATGGAGCTGCATACCATAACCCATTAAACCTATAATTACAAAAAATTAAATGTTGTAAATTCATAAACAATTAAAGAAATTGTATTAATTAGCACTAAATTAGCTTTACATTTTTAAATACCGCACTGAAAAACATCTGATAGATTCAACCAGTCGTCTGCTAGAAAATGGACGAATCAGAATTCCTCAGGATTTACCAGAATTCCTATAGGACTTACCAGAAATCCTTTAGGATTTACCATAAAAGATATTTCATAACCAGAAGTTTGCTAGACTTCACTAGAAATCTGGTAAATCCTAGGGGAATTCTGATTCGTCCATTTTATAACAGACGACTGGTTGAATCTATCAGATTTTTTTTCAGTGCGAAATAGAAATCACAATCGCGGTTAAGTTAAATTTAAAGTATTTGAAGAATGTAAGAATTAAAATGTGGTTATTAACAACTTAACAATAAGTAAAAACAAAATACTAACGTGGCTTTGAATAAATCTATTCCGTTATCTATTACAGCTTGTCCACAGTAATTACCAAGAAACATATATATGAAATAACCAAGTGTGAGTACAACAATTATAAATGCTTTACCGATCTCATTTGATAATATTAGTCGGCAGAGCTAAAATAAATGTATTACTTAAAAGCAGTTAAAAATTAAATACACTAAAGAAAAATTTTACTTACTAGAAAAAGATTGAGAGTTAAAGAACTAACGCCAAGTACTATCAGAAAAGCGAATGGTAGCAAAAGAAAAGATGTTATAAATTCATTATACCTTCAATAAAAAGTTAAATATTGAAAGTATTACATTAATAATATAAATATAAAGAGCTGTAAG